ACACCTTAGCCAAAATACGAGAATAAACTTTTCTGTGGTTAACCTTGACTCTTGCAAAAAACGAGCGCCAAAGCATAAATAGCTTAAAAGTAATGGTGAGCTATGCATAGGCTCTTGAAAACTGTGTTCGGCCACCTTAAAATATCGTGAAATAGCCCCTTCGAGAGAGACCAAATATGGGTGCGAGAAATGATTTCAAGGTTCACTAAAAGACTTGGCTGTCTTTTACTGTTTGTTTCGACTTTGTACTCTATCATTACATAAATACTTCGAATCCATAGAATCCTTGATAACCTCCGAATAANTTATCAGTGGGATTATATTTTTACATGCCAGGGAAAACTCTACAGTGAAAGCTACTGTGTGCAAGAACCCTGGCTGAAAAGGGAGCTATATGCATGGGGCTATATGCCAGTTTTCGCACTTGGTTGTCAAAAGAGTAGACGAGTTTACTTAATTAAGTTGAAGTTACTTAAAGGAGTGCAGCTGGCTCCAGCTTTATAATTTTGCAGTGCCTCGAATAGGCTTTTCAGGTAGTTTAAGTTTATACTAGGTATGAATAAAAGAGAGAAAAGGCCGGCAAAAAAAAAAAGAAAGTGTAATGTAGTGTAAAGTCGCTAATCACCACGACCAAAATGGCTGCCAACAGTAACTGTACCCACAATATTAAGTGCCTGGATGAATCTCTCACATGTGACCATTCAAATGAAAGCCTTCGATGCATGCTTTCTAGTGGTGCTGTTTGTTAGTCAAGTAATTCCAAAAAAACAAGTTTAGAAAATTGTCAAATTTATACTTGAGTACTCTAAGGAGGTAGAGAGTCAGTAGTACATCATTGATTGACACTGAAGAGTCCAGGAGATTTGTTTGGAGAGATACGGCCAATAGACAGTCCACCAGAGGCCTGAGATGCTTCCCCTGAGAGATATGTTCGGCTTGAGGTCTTGGTATGCCGGTATGTTGTGAACACTTCTCGCCGAGTCTCATCGTGCTCTTCTGGGAAGGACCGGACAGACGGATCATCACCTCCAGCATGACCTCCACGCGTCCCAGCCCCTGGAGAATATGCACCTGTTGCCGAAGATAGATAAGTGCCTCTTGCAGAATAATAGGAGCCTCCGGTTGACCCATGATATGGAGCCTGCCCATATGGGCTCCCTTGGACTGGGGTCAATCCGTAAGGGCTTTGGGATCTCGACCCAGGCGTTGGGGCACCGCCATGGGGACCAACACTCCTTTGCCGAGGACTACAGCACAGTATAAGGGCTAAAATGATGAACCCAATGAAAAACGAAAGCCCAATTATCCAGGCACTAGTTTGTCCAAGAAGACCTAGAAAAAACCCTTGGAAACTTCTGTCTGCCGGCCCTGCTGGAAGTTTAGGGCACTGTTCACTGCTTGAACCCGCTCCTGCCAGCACAACAGGAATAGCGCCTCCGAAGGGAGCTGTATACGAGACGTACAGCAAAGCTCTTTGACCCGTCAACTGACTTTTAAACTCCACCCACACTTTCTTGAATGATTTTGGATTTTTTCCCACCACTTCTACCTCATATTGAGCTTGATTATCACCTGAGATTGACAGCACTGTAACAGCTACCAATGATGAATCTTGGGATCTTACCTGCAAACAAAACAAAAGTAATCTTTGTTGAACGAAAGAAAATTGAAAATGTGGCAATGATTCGACTCAAAACAGCGTTATAAATTTCAG